CAGGGGTATGATACTAAGGTTTGTGTAACACACTGAATTTAATATTGATACCCTGAAAAGGCAGGTTTCAGAACCCACCTCTTCAGTATTGTATATTCTATTTTCCCGATTCACAGTTATCTTAGTGAGTCATTAGCAATGACAAATGTCTATAACGCCATTTAAGGAATTCTTTATCTATTTTGTATTCCTTACCATTCAGGCGGTCATTTCAAATTCATATTACAGCAGTTTGTGATTTCTGAAAATATTTTAGATGAAATATTCGCGTTAAATTAACGTAAAGCTTACCATACTTTAAAATCATGGTCCATGTTTTACTCGTGAGATTTAATCGGCTCTTTCCTTTCTCTGACACAGACGTTTACAATTAACCACACGGTATTGTCATCAAGCAACGGGATAGGGAATTAAAAAATCATATAGTTCAAAATTAATGTACATAATAGAAAAAAATACACACATCACGTGATGGCGATATGATGCGATTTATCGGGACGATTTTACATACAGTCCGTAAATGAGGTTTATGTTGATATTTTGTCAGAGATTATTGAACAACCATGAATCACTGGCGCTCTCGACGTTAAACGAAGATTTTATCGGGACGTGAACGTCTTTTTATTCTCTAGCATTTAAGATATCGCTGACGATATGAAGACTATCTTGTTAAATCGTATATCTGTTGCTACATCATTGTGGGAATTGGCGAATAAAGAGTCTGGATCCTTACAAAGTGGTCTTCGTTTGTAATGAGCATATCATGACTAGACCATTTATCGGCGTAAGTTTGTGATTGAAACCGGAAGGAACACGATTGCTATCATCTTCCGAAAAATATATGACGGTCATAAACGCTAGCTGTTACTGCGCTGCTATTACTCCGAACAAAAAGTCATTGGGTTATTGTTAATTAAATCAGGAAAGATACATGGTTGATAGCTCTGTAATATTATAACAACGTATTTAAAATGTTACAGGGACGTTAAACCGATTAGTGTTTTCACGGGTTTAAAATAAAAAAAATAAAAATGATTATTGGATAGTTTAATAGAAAATGTCGTTACATTTAAAGAATGATTACGAACCGTTATCTTGGTCTATTAACAAAACCTGTGTTCTGGCGTTGAAGAAGTACCATTGGATCATAACTTGATTAACGTATGCGAATTCCCATCCTCAGTATTCCAGAGGTTATGCTCACTTACGCTCCACACAGAGATTGAAGGTGAGGGTAATTCATCGAATTCCAAAGATGGGGGCTAACATAATACAGGCCCAGCCTGTTAGTCAAAGGCCAACACAGTACAGGCCAAGCCTGTGAGTCACAGGCTAACACAATACAGGCCCATCATGTTAGTCACAGGCTAACATAATACAGGCCCAGCCTGTTAGTCACAGGATAACACAACCAGACCAAGCCTGTTAGTCACAGGACAGCACAATACAGGCCCATCCTGTTAGTGACAGACCAACACAATACAGGCCAAGCCTGTTAGTCACAGGCCAACACAATACAGACCCATCCTGTTAGTCACAGGCTAACACAATACAGGCCAAGCCTGTTAGTCACAGGCTGACACAATACAGGCCAAGCCTGTTAGTCACATGCCATCACAATACAGGCCAAGCCTGTTAGTCACAGGCCAACACAATACAGTCACAGACTGTTAGCCACAGGCTAACACAATACAGGCCAAGCAAGTTAGTCACAGGCCAACACAATACAGGCCCAGCCTGTTAATCACAGGCCAACACAATACAGGCCAAGCCTGTTAGTCACAGGCCAACACAATACAGGCCAAGCCTGTTAATCACAGGCTTACACAATACAGGCCCAGTCTGTTAGCCACAGGCTAACACAATACAGGCCCAGCCTGTTAGCCACAGGCTTACACAATACAGGCCAAGCCTGTTAGCCACAGGCTAACACAATACAGGCCCAGCCTGTTAGCCACAGGCTTACACAATACAGGCCAAGCCTGTTAGCCACAGGCTAACACAATACAGGCCCAGCCTGTTAGCCACAGGCTTACACAATACAGGCCAAGCCTGTTAGTCACAGGCTAACACAATACAGGCCCAGCCTGTTAGCCACAGGCTTACACAATACAGGCCAAGCCTGTTAGTCACAGGCTAACACAATACAGGCCCAGCCTGTTAGCCACAGGCTTACACAATACAGGCCAAGCCTGTTAGTCACAGGCTAACACAATACAGGCCCAGCCTGTTAGCCACAGGCTTACACAATACAGGCCAAGCCTGTTAGTCACAGGCTAACACAATACAGGCCCAGCCTGTTAGCCACAGGCTTACACAATACAGGCCAAGCCTGTTAGTCACAGGCTAACACAATACAGGCCCAGCCTGTTAGCCACAGGCTTACACAATACAGGCCAAGCCTGTTAGTCACAGGCTAACACAATACAGGCCCAGCCTGTTAGCCACAGGCTTACACAATACAGGCCAAGCCTGTTAGTCACAGGCTAACACAATACAGGCCCAGCCTGTTAGCCACAGGCTTACACAATACAGGCCAAGCCTGTTAGTCACAGGCTAACACAATACAGGCCCAGCCTGTTAGCCACAGGCTTACACAATACAGGCCAAGCCTGTTAGTCACAGGCTAACACAATACAGGCCCAGCCTGTTAGCCACAGGCTTACACAATACAGGCCAAGCCTGTTAGTCACAGGCTAACACAATACAGGCCCAGCCTGTTAGCCACAGGCTTACACAATACAGGCCAAGCCTGTTAGCCACAGGCTAACACAATACAGGCCCAGCCTGTTAGCCACAGGCTTACACAATACAGGCCAAGCCTGTTAGTCACAGGCTAACACAATACAGGCCCAGCCTGTTAGCCACAGGCTAACACAATACAGGCCAAGCCTGTTAGTCACAGGCTAACACAATACAGGCCCAGCCTGTTAGCCACAGGCCAACACAATACAGGCCAAGCCTGTTAGTCACAGGCTAACACAATACAGGCCCAGCCTGTTAGCCACAGGCCAACACAATACAGGCCAAGCCTGTTAGTCACAGGCTTACACAATACAGGCCCAGCCTGTTAGCCACAGGCCAACACAATACAGGCCAAGCGTGTTAGTCACAGGCCAACACAATACAGGCCCAGCCTGTTAGCCACAGGCTAACACAATACAGGCCAAGCCTGTTAGTCACAGGCTTACACAATACAGGCCCAGCCTGTTAGCCACAGGCCAACACAATACAGGCCAAGCGTGTTAGTCACAGGCCAACACAATACAGGCCCAGCCTGTTAGCCACAGGCCAACACAATACAGGCCAAGCCTGTTAGTCACAGGCTTACACAATACAGGCCCAGCCTGTTAGCCACAGGCCAACACAATACAGGCCAAGCGTGTTAGTCACAGGCCAACACAATACAGGCCCAGCCTGTTAGCCACAGGCCAACACAATACAGGCCAAGCGTGTTAGTCACAGGCTTACACAATACAGGCCCAGCCTGTTAGCCACAGGCCAACACAATACAGGCCAAGCGTGTTAGTCACAGGCCAACACAATACAGGCCCAGCCTGTTAGCCACAGGCCAACACAATACAGGCCAAGCGTGTTAGTCACAGGCTTACACAATACAGGCCCAGCCTGTTAGCCACAGGCCAACACAATACAGGCCAAGCGTGTTAGTCACAGGCCAACACAATACAGGCCCAGCCTGTTAGCCACAGGCTAACACAATACAGGCCAAGCCTGTTAGTCACAGGCTAACACAATACAGGCCCATCCTGTTAGTGACAGACCAATTTAGCATGTATTTCAAAGTAATCAAGTTCAATAGGATGGCTTTTAAACCATTAATGTTTGTCTTTATTATTCCAGTATGTCTTTTCTAAACATTGTTTTAATGTTGAAGGCTTTAAGATGTGATTTCTTTTAAATGTTTGGATCAGCAGTGCAGATGCAGGAGATTCCAATTTATACTACAATCTGGTAAGATCATGGAAGCCATTTATAGACTGACCTTTGTAAATGTAGGTGATTTGATAGGTATTGGTATTCTAGCAAATCGGAGTCAGGATGTTAACGCTTTTTTAGATTAAGCTGTTCGAAGACATCACTCGGCTGAAGCACTATAAGCTGGACGCTACACGTGTCCACGTGTTTATTTCCGACACGCGCCATTACTTGCAACACGTGTCATTAGTCGGGATCAAAGGACAATAACTCATTGACGAGGCACCTTTCTCATCACCCTTATTTCCTCAAAGATACAGAGACTAACATGAAAAATATTTTAGAGAAATGGTTTTAACCGATTCTCATATAAAAAAAAATGGGTATACCAAATATCATAAACTCCTTTAAAAACTAAATAATATGTTAAGGAGAAATATGCATTATCTCAAAGGACGGCTGCTCTGATCGATATTGTAAAAGTATACATCTCATGCTAACATAATGTTTCTGTGCTTTTTCTAATCAGAAAGAATGTTGTGTTATTGGTTCAATAGATATTATTCTTATCCCACCGCCTTGGCAAAAGCGAGGCATGCAACAATTGATTTAAAAAGTCTAACAAAGGGGATGGGGGTATTCAGTCAGTGTCGTTTTTCTCCTTACACATCTAGTCATACAGGTCCAAACACACTGTAACCGTTTTCTGGTCTTTGTGCCGTACCGTACAAATCGTGAGTCCTATCCCGAACAGGGCACGAGTTACTATGTATTAACGATTCTCTTTTGTTATTTCATCCCTGACATTCCAGGGTTTACGCTCAATTAAGTCTGCACAGAATGTAAGTGGGCGTAACCCCTGGAATGTCGAAGATATTGTTATTTGTGTTTCCATGTTACGTAGCAAACTAATAAATACAAAGTATCTTGTATGTCGCGATCGATCGAAAGGTTCATAAAAGTACTGCAAGTCGTAATCCTACATGTATCGGATATATCATATTGTTTCAAAGTTCGTGCATAGGCAGTTTACGGTAATGTAGTCTTTCCCTCCCGATACTTACAGTAGCAGACACTGTAGTCCTGCCGCCGGACCCCGTAGTAGTCTGACGGACAACTGTGGGTACACACACCTCGCTGTCTCATGCCGCTCCGCTCCAGAAACAGGAACAGGCGGGGTCGGCACGTCACACAGCCGTTAAACCGTGAACAACTGGTACACCCGCGGGGACACATGGGGTAGTGCCCCACCACCGCTGGAAATTAACAAGTACAAATTATTATAGATATCACCCCGGGGACACACAGAGTAGTGCCCAACCACCGCTGGAAAGTAACAAGTAAACCTCATTATAAATATCAACCCCGGGGACACACAGGGTAGTGCCCCACCACCGCTGGAAATTAACAAATAAAAATTAGTATAAATATCACCCCAGGAACACACGAGGTAAGTGTCCAACCACCGCTGGAAAGTAACAAGTAAAAATCATTATAAATATCAACTCCGGAGACACACGGGGTAGTGTCCCACCACCGCTGGAAAAGTAACAGTCGAATTTAATAAAAATATAACCCTAGATATGTAGACGAGTTACAGAGCCTAACTCCCACTGGAAAGTAACAAACAGAATCAGACATATGGATACACCCGACCTTTAAATGTATATATATATTTTTTTATATATTTCTTAAAACTTTTAATTTTGTTCAATCGCATATCTTCGGGAATTTCCGGCAAGCGGACAGTTTCCAAATGTGCGGAAAAGGCCCGTGAATGACGTTAACTTGCTTATTATGAACACCCGTTTAGATCCCGGCGATGCTGGGTTTAGGCCAGTTTCAATCACCGTATCAATGAATCGTTCGAATTGTTTTGAATGTTACACATACTGTTACGCCCAAATCCTGGTGAGTTTGGAACTGAGATTGTCCTGATATCATATTTCAATCAGAGTAAGATATAAGCCTGATCTACTTTAAAATTGATACGGAAAAGTACAACATGTAATTGAATGTACCGTGCACGTTCTGTTTTGATAAAGTATACGTTCTAATGTGTCTGTCAGTCAAATCTGACGTAATTTGACCGATACTGCAAAACATTAACGTAACTGGAATTCCGCAACTCAGGCCGAGGCGTCGTTAACCAGCATCTTCAATAATAAACGCAATATTTCCTTTGACAATTAATGGGTGTGTATGTTTTCGTGTAAAAATCAAGTTATAAACCGGTCAGTTCTTTGTAATGTCATGCATTGATGGGCTAGACAACATGATTGGAATTCGTTTTTAGTTATAATAGACGCAATGTGATGTAAAACAAGAATTGTTGAACTGCCGTTAAAAGTCAGATGCACGAAACTCTACCACAGGGACATGAGAATCTGAACGGAGTATTAACATTCGCGGTCTTTTCAATAACCCTACACATTAGGAAAGGTCGAAACATATATGTATATAATAAAACCAAACATAAATTATTTTTTTGCTAAAGTCTATTGCATCCTCTGTTCATGCTTACTATTGTGAATGAATATGTTCCTTCTGAATGTGTGTTATTTTGCTGCTATAAAATTCATGTAAATATGTATTTATTATTGCCATCATGTCATTTTCATGTTTAAATGTGTGTAAAGCACAAAGGCATTGTTGTCTATTGCAAAAAAAAAGGGGGGGGGGTTCAAAAAAAATATAATATACTGCAGACAAAGATAGGTCCAAACATATAAAATGAGCTTTAATAGTTCCTCAGGTCCCTGTGCAACCTACGTCTTCGTCATTCTACAGAAAAGGAGACTGACCAATTACTCATGTTAACTTTATCTATTATGAACTTTATATTTTGATCTTGGTTAATATAATAATAATAATACTTAATTTGCCCTTTTATATTTCAACAGAAAGCTTCATAAACAATAATATTCGGAATATATTTACAGTATGAGTAAAACTTCAATCGCAGTTTGATATAGACATATCCTAATTTACAATCAACAATAGTTACTTAATATTCATATTCAAGGAACATTTTGTATGTCATGTACTGGCAGTTGAAAACTTAAAACGATATATTACATTAATCTTATTGTATTAGTTTTGCCTTATTCCGGATAAGTTTTAGGCGCATGTTTAGCCCTTTGAGTATTTCGACTCTTAATTTACAAAGTAACAAAAGTGCGATATTTACAGTGCATAATACAAAATAAAATTACACAACATTATACACACTCACAACACAATTACAAATAGAAACAGTATCACATAAATAGAGAGTGCAACTATGTCTATCTATAATAATTGGGTTCTTCTCGAATTTGTATTTTTTTTTTAGATATTTCCCTAAGTTCGCTATTTCTTTCGTATTTTTCACACCCAGCAGTCCTATAAATTTAAACATTATTGTCTTTTTAATGTTATAAGTTTTCAAAACAAAAATAAATATATATATATACTCAAACTATAACCTAAAGTAAAGTAGAAAAAGATATATAGCAGATCTCAAAAGGATTATCATTATTCAAGAAGCTCACCTGTGTTGTATATGAAGAATAGAGTAAAATAAAGTATACAAAAGTTGTGTGAATTAACTGAATCACTTTTCTATAACAAACACATGCTGCTTGTTTATTATACATAGTACTCCAGCCTCTGTATCCAGTCGGTTTGAGAGCAGTTAACACTGACCAGTGCTGCATGCACTGTCTTTGATATTTACCGTGAGCCTCTACTTTACTGTGGTCAGACAGCATTTAACAGGTCATTAAAAGAAAGGCGTGACTTATATTGGCACTCTAGGGGTAAAGGTCTTCCCATTTCTTTGCTAGCATTCTGTGAATAACATCCAAACTATTTTTCATGGATTTTCGTCTGTCTGCCATTTGTTATATGTGTCAATGATAAAGATACAATCAATAGACCTACAGATTTAACGCCATTTTCTAGTCTTTCTGTATTACCAAGACTTAAAAAATTCGTAAATATCATTTTATAGACCTTTTGTCGAATATCTTCAGATCCGGCAGTGTTGCGCACATTTTTCATTTATATCTCTTTGCTTAAGTAATTGTATGTTATGTATCAACTATAAATGATGAGCTGAAAACAATATAGTATCATTGATTTGTGCAAATTCTTAACCAGATAAGAGGAATTAAAGTTTCATTTTTTGACTTATGATGTGATTATGTAATTCCCAGACTTTTGGAGACAACCGTGAAAAAGAAATGGTATAAAAAAAGGGAAACCCCCTCCAAAATAGAAATAGACCTCAAGGTTTAAAACCACTGATTTACCCACAATAACCGACCTGTTTTAAAAGCTTTATCAAACATATGAACTTCGCTATTTGTTAAGATGGTTTTTACTTCACACGAACTCAAGTAAGCTTTGTAGGGAAAGAATTAAGGAGGTAATAAAGACAGTTTTCTTTTGATACAAAAGGTGTCATTTTCACAGAGGTATCACATATGGATGAAATTATTATGGGATGGTATAAACAATCCTACGATTGATTATAAACAACAGCACCCAATGTCCGTACTTTAGCAGGTCAAACTACCCCGACCCCGCACATGCTTGTTTGAAGACAAGCCCACATTATTATAAACCCACAACCAAAGAAGGAGATTGCTTGATAGTTATCGTTCGAAATATTGGTAATCAAAGGGGATCAGAGGAGAGGTATAGCCCGAGTGATCCCCCTTTACGTAAACCACTCATATATCTGTTTAAATGCAGAACGCCAAGATGGCTTTATTAAACCAACACCGGAAGTTATCAAGGAATGCCGGATCTAAAGTGTGTTTGAAGGTATTTGGAAGACAGTTAAAGACAGTGCTGAACAAACCCGATGTTGATAGCATTGTGTCTAGGCGGTAATTTGTTAGAGTCAGAGCCCCACGTGCTTGTGTTTACAGAATCTGTAACCTGTTGAGGCGTACCAACAGTCGACACCTACCAGAGCGATGGTATGTGTTTGTGTTATACGTTCTCTATAAGCAACACCCTAAACTGTTACCCAATGGTGTTATTGTTTTCAGGTCTATCAAAGAAAGCTTATTTCAAGCGTTTAACAAGCAGGTGGCAAAATTATCTTCATACAGTTTGATGCGTCTATGGAAGTGCAGACTGCAGACATCCTTGATGCATGCATATTTCTCTGGAAATGAGGGGATTTGTTTGTATGTTCTAACAATGATACTTGTTATTACAGATTTGTTTAGCGTCTGTTCCTCTGGTCTGGTGTCAAACAGTTATGTTAACCGCTTGCCTTAAATTGAACGAGTGTTACGTGTACTCCGCCTAGAATTGCAACACGCGCAGGTCGTCGTCATAATGACGATGAATCCTACACGTGCCAGCCTCTGTCACCCATCATATATTCCTTACCGCATTGCAGCTGTAACCACACAGGATGCTGAAATTGTTACTTAACCAACTCAATGCTCTTTACTCATGCTTTTAAAATTTTCACGAAGAAAACTAGCACAGGATTTAACAAAATGGCTTGCTAATGCAGAAATCTAAACAAATATATCACTGCGATTTGTCAGCACTCATCCGTGGTAAAATTAAAGGTCAAAACAACGAAACATATGTCTAATTTAGGGGGTTAGCCTTTATAACGTTACATGTTAACAACTGTTGTCTTTAACGGAAAAGATATTCTTTGAAAAGAAATTCAAGTAAGCCGTACCAGGATAAATTCTAGCTACAGCGTTACGACCAACCTCGGGGACCAATAGTCTACTATCAAAGTCAAACCCCTTGTGTTGTTATTGTCGACTCTAATGAAAGGGATTAATCAAATGTCATGTACAAATTAAAAAAAAAATCATACGAAGAAAAATATATAGCAATAGCGTCAACACATCTGGATCACCTAGTCGACTGACACCGAAACAAAAGGAAAGACATCATGAACTTCCACAAAAAAGCAGGTACAAAAACAGGTGTTTCCTGAGAGTAAGCGTTTCCTGAACCATATGTGGTAGCCGTCATGGCGTCGTTATATTTCCTGTAACACCCGTCATTTGATCTAGTCTTGTTAAAGTTCCGTCAAATAGTCATGCCTATGTCATAACGTTTTACCATCCTAACGTTAAAGCGGTAAAGTGGAATCTTGAGCGGTACTACTTTTGCCCCTGTAGATGGTTTGTGGTGTTAGTGGATCACGTTATAACACGTACAACTTGTCTGGCACTGCGATCTGTGTTTCCCCAGTACGTCCAAGCCCTACCAGAATCCCACGTGC